GAACGCTGGGAAAGCAAACCCCACAGCACCTCCCAGTTCTGGTGGTAGTGAGGATGCCCTTGGATGAGTGAGTGATCACCCTCTCACTCCTGCAGACTCAGCACCCATGATGGCTGGCGAACATGCTCAGCACTTTTGCCCAGGGCCTTTGAGTTGATTTGCTGCGGGGGTGTTAGCTGTGGACTCGCCTTCTTGATCAGGCTTCATGGAACATCATTACTAGTTTACATTATTTGAATGCTCAGGCTCCTCTGAGCCCTGCTCCAGTCGCTCTTGGACTACTGTGGATAAAATGAGAGTCCCTGTGGCCAGGATTCTCACCTGGCCATGGTTGACTAGCTCACTGCACACCTGTGGGCAGTACATGGCTGTTGACTCTATAAAAAGAGCTTCACCCAGTGCTCTGGGCACGACACCGTGGCAGGGCTGCAAGGCTGCAGGAGAGCAGAAGAGGCTGCAGTGGTGGCAGTGCCGAGGACAGAGACCCAGAGGACGGCGGCTGTGTGGGATGGCTGTGCAGGCAGAGAGGCCCAGAGGACAGCTGTGCAGGACAGCTATGCAGAGAGGCCTGGAGGATGGCTGTGCCATCAGAGGGCCCAGAGGCAGAGACTGGCTTGCTGCCTGCAGACTTGCTCTGAGTGAATGGGATCTTAGTGACTGGCCTGCCACTATGAGAATAAAGTTGGGTATAACCCTTTCACCCCAAGAACGTTTTGCTCTCATTTTCTTTGTTCACACTGGATCCATAGCAAACTTGCCCTGGGCTGAAACCCATTGGCATGACAACTACTATAAGTACTTGTTGGTTCACCTGTCCTCATCAAAAACTCCCTCTTCAGAACACTGTCCCACAAATGCATTGACCTTGCACTGTCTTCTGTCAAGTTTCCAGGAAACCAGTGGTAGAGATGGAGACTGCCTACAGGAAGCTTCCTGGGGAGTGCCCTGGGAATCAGCCCCAATGGGGAGTGCAGGTAGCTGGGCAGGGCAGAGGGAGGAACTGACCTGCAGCAAAGACCTCAGCAGCTGACCCCACTACTCCATGGGGAGCTTTGGAGCTGCCCGTCAGAGTTGTCTCAAATCAGGGCATGGGGCTTGGGTATTTACACCCAGCCCCATCTAATCAGCCAGTTATTGACTGGATGCCAGCTATGGGTGGAATGGGAAGTGAGGTGTGGCTAATGCAGTGACTCTGTTTGGGGGAGGGCAGTTCCCTGAGAGTAACTTACCCAAGAGCCTTCCTGGGTCAGCATGGCACCTGGGGGAACGAGTCTTCAGACTCTAAAAGGTCTTGGACACACATCATGCGCAGCCTGCATTTCACAGGAAACAAAGTGAAAATGTTGTCAGTACATGATACTGGCTGGGAGCTGCACTGCTGTGTTGGGTGTTTCACATACATGACTGTGTGTGGTCCTTGCCACAGTCCTGCAAGGTGCATGTTATTATCCTCATTTGCAGAGATGGAGTGACTCGCTCTGGGACAGGAGACTGCTGAATGGGAAAGCCAGCTGAGAACCCAGGCCTCTGTTCTTCCCTTCTTGTTATACTTTGCTGTATTTGATATGTGTCATTCTGCCTTCATCATGCAGCACCACAACCGTAACAGGGCCCTCTGGTTGCAAATGAAAGAAACAAAAATAAATGTGATGACTGGATTCAGACCTCGTCCTTCCTCTGCCTCTGGAGTCCTATTTCTTACCTGGCCTCAAGCTTCAGATTCCTCAAAACTGCTCTTGATTATCGCCATTTATTTTTCATCATCCCTAGCTCTGCCTCTTCCTAACTATGTGGTACGGGGCCAGTCTTTACTCAAATTTTGGTGCCTCAGTTTTCTCATCTGTAGAAGGGGGCTAATAGTGATTGTAATGGACACCATGCTGGGCTGTTGTAAGGAATAAAAAGACAGTGAAGAAGAACGTACCTATTGTTTAAAGCCTGTTCTGTGCTTTGCGCTGACACTTAGTGGAAACACACACTAGTTTTACCCTCTTTGCACCTTGGCCTCCAGGAAAAAGACACAAGCCCAGCTATAAAAAGACCTGAGAAGTGAATGGTGTGTGCTATCCTCAGGCTCACAGTAATAAGCAAAGCATGTATAAATAAAGCTACAGATTAGAAGCCAGACTGGTTAGTCCTTGACAGGTCCAAATTAGCAGAATATACCAAGCTCCTCAGTCTTCATGGAAGGACTTCAGAAGGACTCAGTCACAGAGAATTGTAGATGTCTTTACAATATTAAAACCAGGAGTTTTCCCCTTTTTTTCCAGCAAGGAAAAAAAATTAATAAATACCCATAGGCCTTGGTCAGAGAAATAAAAAAAAGAAAAACCGACTGTTGAGCATAGGAATTTAGGAATTGGGCTGTTTATATAAGGGTCACCAAAGGATTTATACTGCAGTGGTTCCTAATCTGACTGTCTCAGAATCATTGGCCAAACTTTAAAAATTCAGACCCCCAGGCCCTCGATTTAGAATCTCTGGGGTCTTAATACTTGGCTTTATTTGGAAAGGAGCTGGTGTATTCCAGAGGCCCTTTACATAGGGCTCTTTGCAGAAGTACCAGGGAAGAACATTTTTTAAGAAAACATGTGCATGAAATTATAGGTTGAATATTATTTTAGCTCTTTAATTAGTTTACCTTTTAGCAATAATGACAGCAACCATGTTCTGTAAAAACACATTTTAACAGCCCCCTAAGTGTGTTATTCCCCTATTCTGCTCACTACTCAGCTAGTTAATTATACAAAATCAGCATTCTCTCCTACATGGCCAGCATACATAATTATTTGTCCATTGCTAATCAACACCTGGGTAATTGCAAGACAGAATTCTAAGTAAAATAAGTTCTATCTGCTGCTGAGCCCTGAAACTATCCCCACAATCTGCTCTTAAATTGGAGGACCTAACAGACAGTAGAGCTCTTTCAGCAATGGATAGAATGATGTTGGTTGGACAGGCTGAGAAAAAAAATCTCTTTGAAACTTTCTTATCATCAGAATGGATGGCCTGGTGATACAGATAGATATGCAAGGGGAGGCAGGATGTCTCTGTTTCTGTACTAATGTTAATAATTCATAAGGTGATCTCCTCATTGCCTTCAGGAAGGAACATCCTGTTTCTAATTGTACCCTTATTCCCAGGCAACCAAAAAAAAAAAATTCCCAAACAGCTTGGGACCATTACCTCTAATGTAGTAGACTTTGCTATGGTTAGCTTTTGGCCACTGATGCTTAATGTGAAATATATCTTTTAGGGAGGAGGAAGGCAATAAATATTTACTGAATGACTGCCATGTGCCAGGGAGTATGCTAAGAGAAAAATGTGTATTATCTCATATAGTCCTTCTAACTGTCCTAGAGAGGAGTGAAAATAAGTAGTGCTATATAGATGGAGAATCTAGCACTCAGAGAAGCTGCAATAACTTTCCGAGTATCTCTCTTGCACACACACACACAGGAAGTCGCTGAGCTACTGCAAGGCCTTTTGACTCCAGTGAGTTAGGCAACTACTTGCCTCACCAATAGTGACCTCATTTCCCTGCTTTCCTATGTCTCAGTTCCCACCTCCCCTGAATGGTTTACAGTCTTTGCCTTGAAAGTTGTTGTGAATCCATAATAAGACAGTTTATGAAAACTGGATGGACACAACTCATTTTCAGGTATCATCCAGCTTTTTACTCCTTCCTAGTAAGAGCTCCCCTGTTACAGACTGAATGTTTGTGTCACTCCCTCCCCCCCGACACACACAAATATTCATATAATGAAGCCTTAATCCCAAGATGAAGGTATTTGAAGATGGGCCTTTGGGAGGTAATTAGGTTTAGATGAGGTCATGACGGTGAAGCCCCCTGGTGGGATTCCTGCCCTTTTATAGGAAGAGGAACTGAGATCAGGGCTCTCTGGAGTGCTCTGTCTTTACCGTGTGAGGGGATTATGGCAAGGAGAAGGCCATCTGTACCCCAGAAAGAGGGTCCTGCCCAGGAACGAATCTGCTGGCACCTTGATCTTGGACTTCCAGCCTCCAGAACTGTGAGAAATAAATATTTGTTGTTGAAACCACCTGGTCTGTTATTTTGTTACAGCAGCTGAGTTAAACACCTCCTTAGATGTTTAAGTTTCTAAAACACAAAAGTGAAAACTCAGCTCATTAAAAAAAAAAGTGTTGAAGTTGACCTCTACTAGACAGAGAAATACTGTGACTGTCAAAATTTTAAAAAGAATTCAAAGCCAGACTGACCACATTAGGAAAAAAATTCTTGTCTTGGTTCTTGTGGGGTTTCTGTGACCATGCTCATTATAATCTGTGACAAGTTGGGGGGATAAAGAGAGTGCAAACAGGGGTGTGAAATATCTTTCACTTGGCTATTAGCAGTGTTTAGTGAACAGCCTGGAGCTAGGGAGCCATTTATGGCTCCAGTGGCTTCTGTGGTCCCTTGGCCTCAGTGTCATACAAAATGCTAATTGCCTGCTTCCTTTGGTTCCTGACTTCTGACAGAGGTACTTGTTTGTGTTGAGGATTCTGCAAGGTCTCTGCTAGTGTGGGACCAAAACGCTGGCAGTGCCATCTTCTCCAAGACAGGGACTTGGTGTTCTTCCTGACAGCATCCTGAGGCCCATTCAAAACAGGGCATTTACTTAGTGCCCCTGGAACTGGCTCAATTTAAATTCAGAGGAGAATCATATCCAGGTTGTGAGGGGAGCAGGTTGTAATGAGGTTGAGAAATGCTCTTCCCTAATGGTGTAGAGCAAAAGCAACATTAAAGTAACATTGGGTATGACATTTACTTTATCCCATTAGGAACGCTATTCCTTGAACTAAGTGAATCACATTCGTGGAATGGCTGTGAAATAGGGTCTGTATGGAAGGGGGTTTTAGTGACCCCTTACACTTCCCCATAGTGATCCTGACTCTGGGAAGCCACTGTCCTCTTTTGAATGAATACATAAATTCATTCATTTATTCAGTTATTCAGTAGAGCTGGGCTCTGGGGGTCCACTATGCCTGGCACCATGGGAGGTTCAGAGAACAGAGGTGACTCAACCCCAGCCCCTGCCCTTGTGGAGCCCAAGTATAGAGAGGGAGACCGGCATGAAGATGAAGTCAGTGAGGTGCCTCAGATATGGGGACAGGTGCCATGAGGGGATAGAGGGAAAGATGTGTCTATGTGTTGACAAATGCTTGGCTCTGAGGATGCCTCGGTCAACAAATCTTACACAGTCCCCGCCTTTTGTGGAGTGATGGGAGGCTGGATTTAAGCAGATTATTACAAACGAGATTAACTCATTGCAAGCATGCACTGGGATTATCAGGAGAATGCTATGGCTCCATCTCGGAGGGGACCTCCCAGATGGGTCTCTGGGACCAGAGGACTCCTGGGCACATGCTATTGTGCTGAAGTCTCAGGTGTGGAAGAGGAGGGGCAAGACGATGGAGGGCTGGGGAAGGCGGGGATGGGGAGTACGTAACAGGCCCAAAGACTAGCAGGTGCAAAACTGCCGAGCGCAGTGTGCACTTGGCCGGAGCATGGCTTGTTGGAGGGCCTGGCTGGAGGCCCCTGTGGTGAGAATGTGAGGAGTACAGGGGGTGAGTGCTCCACAGTAAGGTTGGTGAATTCAGCAGGGACCTGATTTGGGGACCCTTGTAGGATATGTTAAGGAAGTTAATTTGTTTGGTGCAGAGTGGAGGATAGGGAGAGGGGAGTGCTTAAAAAAACCCTTACCTCAGAGGGTCTCCTGGACCTGAGGGTATGCTTGAACTGTTTATCAAAGAGGCAAGACAAGTTAGTGAAGAAGGCATAGCAAGGTCAAAGGGCATGGAGAAGCCTGTCCCCTAGGACTGGAGTTCAAAGGTGATGGGGGCCAGGGGACAGAAATGAGGTAGGTGGAGGAGGGGGGGGTCAGCCCACCACAGGCTAGGTAGAAGGGGATTTTAAGTGGGGTTACACAGTCATGAGGTGGCACACAATGGATCTCTGGAGGCGATATGGCCATGGATTTAGAGGGTGACAGTGGAGGCACATTGACTTCTGGATGCCTCCAGAGACCTTGAGTAATGCATGTACATCCCCACCTCATTCCCACCCACACTCTGCATTACAGACAACAGCCTGAGGGGTCCAAGAGAACAATTGTAAAATATGAAATGGCCCATTTTTGGAAACTCACATGTCTTATTATGCCTGCAGGTTTGCTGTGACTCCCTGAGGATTTTTTTAAGTTGTTATTTCTCAGAGGACTCTGTAAGGAAACAGTGTGTGATGCAGTCATCCCTGGGGTACACGGGATGATCTGCTGGGGACATGGAGGATTATCAGACATCTGTTTATGCTTTATTCCAAACTGAAACGTTTTAAGACAAAATGGGCTTTAATAATACTAAGATGTAGATTATAAGTAGTACATAGATATAAGTCATACAGGAATACACCTATTTTAGAGCTACATGCTCAAAATTTTTTTACATAGAGAAATGTATGATTAAAATAAAACCAAAACTTGGTGGTTTTTCTATAGACTTGGACCACCTGTGTTCAAATCCTGACTCCTTAAGGCACTTACCTAGATGAATCAACTTCAGCATGACCTCTCTGAATTTCTGTTCCTAGATCTAAAATACGAGGGCAACGCCTACATGTGATTGCCGTAACAGGAAACTGAACTATACAAAGTGCACCATACAGGTCTGGCTCATGGAAGGACACTCTAAGAATTTATTAGTTATAAATATCTTCATAGATTGTTAGCTTGCAGCAAGGATTTAGAAGCCATCTTCTTGCTCTTTGCAAGCACTCGTGGGCACATGGGGATGCTGAGCCTCCAGAAGGTAAATGATAGACTCACACAGGTGAAGGTATAGGAACAGAGACAAGGCCTGAACCAGGGCCTCCTTACTTGCAGGCCAGTTTCTGCTTTTCTTCCACAAGCTGTGGTTTCCAGGCAACTGTGTGGTCCTGCTTAAACCCCTTGTCCCCCTCCTTTGGCAATCAGTGGTATATTGAAAGTTCAATTCTCAGGTTACTTGGAGATCTTTGGATTAAGATCCTTGACAAAACGTCCCCTACTAGCCATTGTTAATCATTGTGGTTTGTTTATGGAACCAAGTGAAGCAGGTACACCAGAGCAGAAATCTTCAAATCATTCAACCTAGGCTCTTTTTCTCTGATCTAAGTGGGAACGCATTAATGAGGTAGTGCTCCCCACCCCCGTCCCAGCAATCCCCGTTTCCCAGGTGCACACACCCAGACAGCCACAGATGCAACTGGACTGTGTTTCTCAAACTTAAGGAGATCCCTTTTAAACATTAAAAAAGAAATTCTTGGGCTTTTAGGAAAATTCTGTAATCATATCTTTGCTGCATGTTATTACTAACACTGATTTGTATCCTTAGTTAACTGGTAAAACATTTAAAAGATTATTATCAGTTTGACAACCACAAATCAAAACTTGATTTTGAAATTCTCATTCTGAAGACTCCAGTTTGAGAAACAGCACTATATAGGGAATTTTCTACCTGAGCAAGGGTTTCCAAAAATGGGCCATTTCATATTTTACAATTTCTGTTTAACCCCTCGCTGTTCCCATAGATCTTTGAGGATTACCGGAATCAACTCAGTCTATTGGTTCCTCCCACTAGACTCAGAATCTCAGTGGATGGGATTTAGGAATCTGGTTTTTTGTTTTTACAGCTGATTCTCCATTATATTAGAATTAGAACATTACTGCAGTGATCCACTGGTTTGTCCACTAGAATGTCAGTTCTGTGAGAACTGGGATACTTATATTTTGTTAACTGCCATATCTCTAGCTCCTTGGAACATATAGTAGGCATATGTATTAAATAAGTGAATGAATAATGAGTAATCAATCTGTCAATAAATGAGAGCATTATACTTCCCCAAATGTTGCTATAATGTTGTTTAAATCTAATCCTCACAATAGACTGGGTCATTAATAGCCCCGTGGCCTAAAGAACAAAGCCCACAAGCTTTAGCTTGGCTTCCAAGGCCCCTTCATGATCAGGCCCTTCCAGCCTCTGCTGATATCCCAGGAGCCATGTGCTCTGGCATCATACTGACCAAGCATGTTAGCTAGCTCAAGCTCACCCTAGACCAATCCAGTCAAAATCTGTGGAGTAATAATTGTAAAAGCTCCCAAGGTGATTCTACAGTGTAGCTAGGGCTGAGAAGCACTCAGACCTGCCTAACTGCTCAGTGTTGTCTGAATATCACATTCTGGACTCCTCTGAAAGGCTTCTGGCTGTTTTCTGTACCTGTTGAGCCCCTGCTTTCTCACCGAGCCTTCCTCAAATGTCATCTCACCTCTACACTGTTCCTAATTCTCGTCTATCAAACAGAAACGGCTCGCCCTTCCTTCAGCTCTGCATGACATCACAGCCTTGGTCATGTTCTGCAAAGCAATGTTAGACCCTTTCTGAAATGTGGCTTCCTCCAGGCAGGTGAAGAGACACTTTGCACTCACCAGGATACCACAGAAAACTAGCACGGTGTCTAGCACAAAGAATTCTCCAAGGTGATATAATATACACATGATGATAACATAATTAGAGAGCCACACAATTTATTATCCAAGCCAGGATAATTTTGAGAGTACTAAGGGTGATGGTAATGATTGTATTAGGACAAATGGGACCACAAGGTCCCAGACAAACTGGAAGTATGATCACCCAGGCAACAATGGCCAACAGTGATTGAAAGCACTGTTTGTAGGTCACTGCCCTACATGCTGGCTATGTGTCATTTCTTTGACCTATACAGCAACCTCATGGGGGAGCAACTGTTGTTATTACATTTCACAGAGAAAGATACTCCATCAGACACATGAAGGAACTTACCCAGGGCAACACGATTAGGGAAGTGGGTGGGACCCGGGACCTGAATGCAGGTCCTCTGCATCCAGAGCTCAGGTTCTGGGCAGTTAAGCCCTGTTGCCTCCCATGGAAGATCTCAGGCTTTGGAGTAGGACAGGAGGAGGTTCGATTCTCAGGTGTGCTTAAAATAACTTTAGTTACTTCTGTGGCTTTAGCGCCTTCATCCCAGGACTGATGAAAATGACTGTTTACAGGGACCCTGGAGCGTTAAGTGTGATAAGGTACGACAAGATCAGGCCTAGTGGGTATGTGCCTGTGGTATACTTGTCTTACGAGTAAGATACCTGCCAGTTTACAGTAGGCTCCATGAGACATCTACTTAGGTAGCTATGACACAAAGTGAAAAGTGGAAAATGCTATAACTGAGTACAGAGTAGGGTCACTGGAGGCCCTGTAGCCTAAGGTTTGAAGCATGAAATTCTATGTAACACCTGTATTCAAATTCAGATTGTCGAATTTGAATGGACATTTGTCTAAAGAAGTTATGCAAATGGACAACCAGCCCATGAAAAAATGCTGGGCATCAGTAGTCCTGAGGAAAATGCAGAACAAAACCATGGTGAGATATTACTGAACATCTGCTAAGATGACTAAAGCAAAAAGGACAGATGAGAAGAGATGCTGACAAGAAACATCTGGGAGAGAAACTGAAACCCTCAGACTTCGTGGGTGGTTTTGAAAACCGGTGCAGCCACTTTGGAAGAACAGTTTGATAGTTTCTCTCTTAGGTATCATACCAAGAAATTTGAAAAATACTCCCCCACAAAAACTGCTACACGAGTGTTCATGGCAGCATTATTCATAACAGCCAAAAGATAAGAAAAACGTAAATGCCATATTAATATAATGAATATTACTGAGTTAAAAGAAAAAAGCTATAACATGGAGCTATAACATGGAATGACCTTGAAAATGTGATGCTACATCCCAAAGGACAACCTACTGTATGATATCATTTATATGAAATGTAATTTCCTGAACAGGCAAATCCATAGAGACAGGAAGTAGATTAGTGGTTGCCTACGGGTAGTGGGTTTGGGGGAGATGGGCACAGGGTTTCTTTTTAGGGTGATCAACATGTTATAAAATTAGCTATGGTGAGAGTTGTACGACTCTGTGAATGTACTAAAACCACGGACTTGCATGCTTTCAAAAGGTGAATTGAATGGTATGGTAATTACATCTCAATAAAGCTGTTATTAAAAATACTCAGGCTCTGCTGTTGATGATGGACATTAGCGTCATCATCTGCAGAGTAAGGTTCATGATGGAGTCTAACTTCAAGAGCAGGTGTGAGGATTACATGAGAGATTGCAGAACTCTTATAAATGAGAGATGTCAGACTCTTAGCACAATGACTGGTATAGTAAATGCTCCATAATTGACAGTGACAATGTTGATGACTTTCCTTAAACAGATGACCTTTCTCTTGTCCATCCTGAGGCATAGGGTCAGTGGTGATTGGAGCAGCCTAGGCTGGAAATTCTTGATGACTTGGGATGCATGAAGATTGACCCTCCTACCACCCTCAAATCATATGTGCCTCTGATGGAATGGCCTTATGCCTCTGATATCTGTTATTTATTTCTTAACTAATATAACTCAGACCTTGCTCAAATTGTGCTCATGAAAAATTACCCTTTTAATGGTAGAACATTTAATGAGAAACTGGATTATCTACTGCATAAGTGCCCTTCATACAAATTAGCTTGGCCCCGGGTCCTAATCTAAATTGGGCTCCCTGCTTTCCCCTAAATGGCCTAATATTTTCTTATTAATCTCTGCCCTTGTTCACCTGATCTGGCTCTGCCTCCTCTTATGAAGCATTCTCCTTGGCAGAGCTCTGTGCCCTAACAAATGTTTCTTCAGACTGTCTTTGTATCTGACTCATGGGCATTTTTTTTTGGACAAGACATGGAGTCTGGAAGCTGTTTATTTCATTTTCAGCTGTGTCTCCAATGGAGTTTTAATACAGCAAAAGTATTGACCATCAGCAGATTTGGGTCAGGTGAGTTTTGCTATAAGGTAAAGATGAGGCTTCCTAGGGAAGTGCGATAGATGAGAAGCAATGAGTGATGGTGGTTAAGAGAACAGGCTTTAGAAATTCAGAATACAAGCAAACCATTAGCCTGGGCTTTGACATCAGACAGATATGGGTTCAGTCCCACTCAGTGAGTTTGGACAAGTTGCTTGGCCTCTCAGACCTACAGTTGAGATCCTCATCTATAAAATCTGAATAATAGTAGCTACCACAAGGGCTATTTCTGAAGCTAAACAAGTCAGTGTATATAATATGCTCTGTACAGAATATGATAAATAGTACTTGTTTTTATTATCATAATTAAAGTTTGAAGAAAGTCCTAAACAGTGAAGGGATGCTGTTAGTAACTGAAATAGTGTCATGTGTTGAAGAGGCAGAAATGATATCTATGATAAAGATAACTTTCCCAAGAAATAGCTACCAAACACTGTGTAATAATGCAAGGAGAGGTGAGCTGTAGTTCCAGGGCCCTGTTTTTTTAACTAGATCTCTACATCAGGTATGTGATAGCACATGTTCTTGTCTTTGTTCTTAGCTTTAGTCTCTGACACATGCCCTCACAGGGCCCTGAGGCTTGATTTTTACGTTGCTTACAGTTTCTAACCATCCAGGTGTAATATTTGTTTTATGGAATGATTCAAAAGCTTTCATATACTAGGAGTCAGCACGGATGCAGCCCTCCAGCAACAGCTGTGAATTGAGGGCCACAGATCGAGGCCTAGCTCATCAGACAGCTCTCCTTAGTGCCTCCTGCCCTCAGCATTGTATGTCCTAAGAGTTATTTTTGCAGGACAGGTAACAGTGGTGACAGCTACCATTCACAGCAGACTTATCATGTGAATACATGCTTTGCACTTACCTCATTTAAGTTACTATTCAGAATAACTCTGAAGGTAGATATTTTATCTACATTCAACAAACGAGAAAACTGAGGCTCAGCTGACAGTTTAGTTGGCCTCCAAGTGAGAAAGCCATAATTTGAAATGAGGATGTCTGACTCTAAATCTTATACCTGACACAGACAGCATAATCCACTACACATTATTTTCAGTCCCCAAAATCTTGAGCTACTAGGGGCACAGACTTTGCCTCACACATCTGTTGCCATTGAGTTGTAGCATCTGGCACACAGGGGATGCTCACTGAAGGATGAATGAGTAAATGAATGAAACGCAAGTCGTGTTTGAGCAAGAGAAATTATACAATGGTTAGCTATTGCTGTTGGGTTTTTTCTTCTATTTTAAGCATGTCCTCAAATAATTTTCAACCCACTTATAGAAAGGCCTTAGCTTGCACATCATATAGATGGAGGGAAATGGGCTGAGTTATCACTAATGTCCTCAGAAATAAGTTTCTGACTGATGAGGGGCGGCATGATGGAGGAGGTATCAGAAGTTAGTGTTAATGATGTTCCAGGAGATGAATATCAGAAGGCTAGGGCGTGGCAGATTTTAGGAACCACATACACATCAATGTCCCTAGCTAGATGAATGTGACTAGCTAGAAGAGATTAGAAATTTGAATTCCTGTGTACTTATCTTTTTTGTGACTATGTGCACTTGGACAAGCCACTTAAATTCTGTGACCTTCATCTTCATCACCTGGAAAATGGATCTGGCTGAGTCATTATGAAGAGGAAGGATAAAGTTTATAAAGCATCTTACATGAGACACTCATGTATTCTAGTCACAGAACTTTACTGTCCTTTTATGTGGATGTGAGGGTGTATATCAACTTCTGGTTGACGTATGTTAGCAAAATATTGTGTTAATAATTATTGAGAAAGCTTTGCAAGGCATGGGCACAGCGAAGCAGCAGGGAGGCCTGTTCCTGTCCACACATGAGTTAGCAGAAGAGAGATGGTAGAAGCATTTTTTGATCATCGTTCCTGGGTCATTACTTGATACAAAGCAATTACCCTGGAGTCTCACTATAAAACAGCCCTGGAATTGGGTGTAAGGAGGGTCTTGGACCCTGGCCAAAGTCATATTAAATGCTGGAAATACCAAAGAGACTCAGTGCTAATACTCTTCTTACAAGAATGTCAGACATGAACTCTTAGTGGGTGATTATCATTTGTTGAATACCGAATGTGTATCAAACTCTGTATTGGATGCTTTATACATGTTGTCTTAATGGTTTGATTATTTATCTTAATGCCCCATTGGGGTTGGTTATTTTTAAGTCTTTTTTTTTTTTCTGCTTGAGAAAACAGAGGCTCAGAAAAGAGAAGTCATTTGCCTCAGGATTTAAAAAGGATAGAGCTCAGATCTGCATCCAGGGGGACTACATTTTTTTCTGTTTGGTCCAGTGATTTGCCTTCCCTAAGTATATAAGTGAAACCGAAGAATGAATCTTGGCACTGTGGATATTTAAAGTCATTGGCGCTTGAACACCTACCTACATCTCTGAATCCTGCTTTTCTCTGTTTTTAGGTCAGGATCGCAGTGAAGCCACTTTGATAAAGAGGTTTAAAGGTGAAGGGGTCCGGTACAAGGCCAAACTGATCGGGATTGATGAGGTTTCTGCAGCTCGGGGAGACAAGTTATGCCAAGATTCCATGATGAAACTCAAGGTGCTGTGCAAACATTTTATTTTCAATGTCATGGCTTTAGTATGAGAAAAACAGTGATGATAATTACAGCAATACATTTTTCATTTATTCACTTATTGGCCAATCACTGGTTTACTGATGAGTCACTTTATTTCTTTATTGGAAAGAGATTTCAATCATTCAGCAAATGTTTATTAAGCACCTACTATGTGGAGATATTTTGCTAGGCCCTATTTTATGATTTTGAAATGTATGACATTCTATTCAATTTTAACTTCATTGTGCAATGCCTACAAAAACAAAAATAAAATTATCAAATTGTATAGTCCCTCACCTTTTATGAATCCTTACCACTTTGTTATTTGTGGACAAGTTTTATATATTTTACCATATAATAAATATGGTGAAAGATGATATGTTAAGATAAAAACTCATTTCATTCATGCTTGTAATTTCTGTTAATGTCCCCAAACATTTTATAATGAAGGGAAAATATTTTTTAAGTAACATGTAACTAAATATTAGCATATCACAGAGTTTTTGATTTTAAATGCTTAATGAAGACTTTTCTTTGAGAAATCTAATGAACTGAAAAAATACAATATACAAAATAATACAATTAAGTGGCATTTAAAAACATAAAAAAGAAGCATTTGTTCCCAGATTCTGGTATCCATATAGACTATGTTTCTTTTTTTATAAATGTGATGTAAAATATTGGAAAAACAAATGACTGAACAAGAAGTCTACAAAATATTTTATGCATTCAAAATATGAAATTTAATTCTTTTCCTGATTATAGAATTCACAAGATGTTCATATAAAATATTTTGAAAATACAGAAAAGTATAGGAAAATTGAAATCATCCACAATCTCACCACACAAAGAAAATCAGTATTGCTATTTTTGTGTTTAATTTACAATCTCCCTTTGTATTTTTATATACATTATATGAATTATAAACATATATGTAATTTAATTGTAATTACTATTTAAAGTCTTTTATCTTGTTTTTTTTTTATCTAATAATATATTATGAACATCTTTTTCATATCTTAAGAAAATCCCTAAAGATACAACTTGCTCAAGGTGATTTTTTTTTAATGTGAGACAAAGGGGAAAAAAAAAATCTGGCTAAGTCCCTAAAAGCATTAAATGAGACAATATCTTTCAAACACCCTCTACATTGCCTTTCCTTTCATATTTGCTTAATAAATCACAGCTATTTGTTTATACTATACAAATTTTCTCAACCATTTAACATGTTTATCAGCTGCTAAGTATCCCTATAGTATGGCTGTAGTAGTCATCATTTTTCAAAACCTTAATTTTCTAAAGTGTATGCCCATTACTTATTTCTAACTTTTTTAGCTGTTATATAAGCAAACATTATTTTAATAGTTGTATATCTGTTACAAGGTGTACTAAAAAAAGGTGTAAGAGACACCAAAATCATGATTTTACAGACTGTCACCTTGGAAGAGATTAATGTGTCCCTTTTTTATAATTAAGCAATGTAGTGAATTTTAGGGCAGTCTGATAAAGAGCCCTCTTCTACTAAATTCAAATCTGATAAATAGACAAGGAACTTTACAGGAAGAGTTCTAAATTCTAACTTTGTGACTGATAAATACTTGGAGAACTTGATATATTTATATGGCCACAGTGGACATCCTTGGAAGAGACAGGCTATTCCACTTGGTTTGTAAGGGAATTGAATTGCTGCAGCCCCCCTGTTCTCTCCAACCCTTGCCCTGCCTCAGAACAAGACCTGGGTTTGCGCATGAGATCAGAGCAGAGTGCGGTATCTCCACCAGCTGGCCAGTTGAATAGAGAAAGCCTGGAAGAGACTGAGCCGCTTGTGCTCAGCTTCTCTGCAGACTTCCTGCTCACATAAAGCCACATTTGCCTCTCCAAGGAGACCCTGAGGATGGGGAAGGGCAGGATCTTGGTTTTTGCTTAAGTCCCTCCTTACTGAATATGAAGTGAGGCAATTGGAAATTTGCTCTGACAAATACTAATTAGAAGACATCAAGAAAACCTCCAATGACCTTGTTCTCACAGAGAGCCATTGCTGAGGAGGACAAAGGAGCTAATGCCTCTTCCCCCAGCATTCTGGTAGACAGCCATTCACCCGGCACCTGTCCCAGAGTGCCTCGTTGGCCAGCTGCCTTCATGCAAGTACTCAGGTCTGAGTGAGTCTGAGGCAGGAGTCTGTCTGAGCGACCTGAAGGTTCTCCCCCAGATTCAACGTTGAGCCCAGCTAGCTAGACCAGGCCTGGCAATGACTGCCAACCTTGCATGAGCACCCCTACGTGCGTGTTACCTGCAGTGGAGAGCCCCATCTATCACACCTCATATCTCCGAGGTCCCAAAGCCCTGAGAGTGTGTCCTACCGTAATGCATTCCCGTCAGATGCACTGAACTTGTTGAGGGGGTTCTTGATTTCCAGACAGTTAGTTGTGTTTCATTATTTTCAAGTTGCCAAGAAGTATGCTGACATTTCAGCTCCCATGAGTTTTTCTTTAGGAAATACAGAAACATAAATGATTGGTTCTCCATTTGGCCACCTGCCCAGGAAAGAAAGAGACAGAGAAGTACTAAATGCCTATTAGCCTTACAAAAAGACCCACTTGGTCACGTTAGGCCATATGAGAAATTTTAAATTTCTATTTTCCTTTGCTAGACTCTCTGAAGTTAGTGCCTTTTTCTGTTTTAGAGTTTTCTCTTGGATTATGGAAATTTGAGAGGGGAGTCATATGGTGACTGTAAATGGGCCATTGCCTTTCTCCCAGCAAGGCACCCTCACGGTCATATTTCATTTTAGAGTCAACAGAGCACTTTCACTTTTATTATCTCTCTTTATCTTGTGAGATAGATATTAGTTTCCTTGCTTTGTAAATAAGAAATCTGAGGCTCGTAGAAGTGAAAAGATTTTCCCCAGAACCTTCATTGAGTCTGATAAACCGAGATTTCAAGCCTAGATCTCTGGAGGTCTGGGTTTGGTAAGATGTAGTTTAGCGCTTAGTTATGTTGTGTTTGTATCTGCATTTAATTTACCCTGGCTCCCCAGCTAGACTTTAAGCTTCTGGGAGGAAGCTACTATCTGATAGTCACACATCCATGGCTTCTAAAGTAATCAACTTCTGAGACACTGGGCAGGATGGCAGTGGTTGAAACTCCTGGAGGGTGAGATCCCCTGGAGACACTGTCTGGAGGGCTCATCGCAGAGCCCGGTGTCAGCCAGGGTTCTGTAAGAAACAGAGCCTACCCTAGGTCAGATGAGGCGCTGCTTACAAAGCATAAGAAAGTTAAGGTAGCAAACTAGAGATGGGGAGGCATCCAGAAGCTACTGGGAAGGCTGTTACTGCCCTAGAAACAAATACACTTATTAAAACCCAGGGAGAGGAGGATTGAGAAGGAATTCCCCCTTCCTCACCACACAGAAATAAAGCTACTGCCAACGATGTACAGCAAGGATGGGAAAGAGGAGGGAAGAAATACCCTGACCTCTCTTTTCTTCCACCCTTTGTCCTTTCATGTCTTACATTGTGGAACCCAACTGGAGACCAGAGATAGGAGGCTCAGAGGACCAGGGAATGCAGTCCCATGGCCAGTCTCTGGGCACAAAGCAGGCCAGAAGAAGATACTTGTATTCCCCTTTTTAACTGGAAAAGTGAAACTTAGGATGAGTTTTTCCAGCTAATTGGACTGAAATTGGAGACCAGGATTTTTAGCTTATGGAACTTTCTGGAATAACATTCTGTTTTCAGCCATTCATGCCTGAAGCCCATTGCATTTTCACACCTGCTTTACATGTTCCATGAGATCCCTGTTCTCATGAGCACCATGGACCTGCACCATGCTGGGGGAGGTTTCTCAAAGCCCTTTCCTGTGCAGCCTCTGAGCATGACAGAGCCACCTGTTAATCCTGCATGGCCTGCCTGACACTTTGTGTGTAAATTACTGCGTCAGGACGCAGCCTACCTGTGACTCCGTTAGGGATGTTGCATGCAAGAAGTGTAGTATATACATAGTTCTTTTAAATGTCCCAGAATTACGAGATGAAAATGTGATTATTCTCATTTTAGAATCCCCCTTTGCTTCCAAGTCTGAGAGCTGGTTATTCCGTCTAGCTATTTGCAGAGTCTTTTTGATATATCTGCAGTATATTATATAGTCTTTTATTATCTACACTTTCCAAAAAGACTCTTAAGGTTAGAATAGAAGAAGGACCTCCAACAATGGAATCTGAAAAATCACTGTTTGAATCCCATGTGTTATTAGTTCCTCGAAGATTTGGAGGATCACTAGACCCCCTGATCTTAGGTTTTCTCATAGGTAAAATAAGGAAGATTATTCTTACTTCTCAGGATTGTGAGATATAATATAACGCATTTAACAGGTACCCAAAAAAATGTTTAACTCTCCTATCTTCCAAGTTTCAACAATGACTTACTAAGGTGGCTAATGTTAGCCACAGAGCCCCATAGGACACTCTGCATCCACCCTGGTCCCCAGTCAGAACTGTCTCCTGGGCCTCTGTTAGTTCTGCATAAACAGCAATGAATAATCTTGTGGGGAGATGCATCCCCGAGGCATGCTGACTGGTGGCAGGCTTGCCTGGGCTTAGTGCAGTTTTTCAGAGATTGACTCAGGGTCCTGTCTCACAGGAGATCCATGCTTGATAAAATTGGGATTTTATATCCCCAAAGATAGCATGGTATGGATAGCCCTTCTCTCTTTCATTTGTCATGTAAAGCTACTACCAGCAGCCCCAGGCTGAAATGCTCCTGGGCCATGCGTGTTTGCTCTTACCATCCTTTTTATAAGCATTCTTTGATAGCTACTTGGAGGCAGGGAGCAAAGTGGGGCATTATCTAGTCAGCATTATCACGTGCCAGGAATTACTACTATTTGATATTGCACTAATTCTAAGAGCAAAGGACTGTTAGGACTGCTTTGGAGATGGAGATGTTGAAGCTACTCTTCCCAATAGCAGGTGCAACCCTCTTGCACCATGTGCTATGATGTTCTCATTTAGGAGGAATTAGACAACAAGGCAGGTTCCTTTCACACAGTCTTTCCAATCTTTCTATTTGTGGTGGGGCTACTCATTCTCTCTTTTTTGTATGAGTGGGTATCTTAGGTTGAATGTTAGACTCTGGAGGGAGGGCACAGCATAAGTTATTTTCCTCCAAGTCCAGCCAAGAACATAGAGTTCAAAGGCAAGTTTTCCCAGGTGAAAGTCTGGCTTGTCCACTACCAAAGTGAGGGAAAGTCACTTCTTTGTGACTTCTTGCTTTATGCTGGGTTCTGTCCTGGACACTGGGCACATTGAATTAACAGAGTTCCATGCACAATAGAGCTTTTGTTCTATTGGGAAAAGTCAGGTAGACAGCAAATGAATGCATATGTCAAATGGTGGTAAGTGCCATGAGAAAAAGTGAAGCAGAGAGAAAGAATGAGATGTGGTTTGGCATTGAGGATAGAGGGGTCAGGGACAGTGTCTCTGATAGGGTGGCACTAAACAGAAAGAAGAACTACCCCTGGGGTTGCAGAGACATGCTTTGACAATTCCCCCATGTTCCTTAAAGTCAAAGTCATCCCTCAGTGAATTCATGGGAAAGCAAGTGGCACTCTGAGGAAGCTGGAAACCTTCAAATAGGAGGGGCATTAAAGAAACAGAAGGGTAAGATTTGGGGTGAGTCACTCTCTTTAACAACTTAGCTGTCACTGGAGGAGGGTTGCCATGCCAGGGGTGTAGTACTGAGGGGCTGAAAGAGAGCTCTGGGTGGGGTTACAGGGAGAGAGTTCGACCTTCTAGAAAGACACAACATGAAGGAGTAACAACCACTCCTGTACCAGGAGTACCTCACCTTTTTTACCAACTCTCTGAACCATCCCGGGACTGTCCACCCACCTGTCCGGGCATCATTTATCTCATCTCAGTGGGGGAATGTGGACTGATTAGTTTTCAGGTTTCCTCTGGCTCTAACATTGTGTACGTCTGTGAGTGTGTCAGAAGAGCTTGAGAAAGAGTGGGTGACTCCTAAGAGTGTGAATCTTCTACTAGTAGGTCCCGAACAGGGACTGGACCACAAACTTTAGGGACAGTCATTTATTTACTAGAAGAAATTAATTTTGATTACATCCCTATGGTGTACCCAGAATTATGCTGGGTATTGTCCATAAATCTTCTTTTAATTTTCTCAACCATGCAAGAAGAATATTTACACTTGAGGAAGTGGAATTGAAGGTGAAGTAGTTTGTCCAACGTCCCAGACAGCCAGAAGAACAGTCTGATACTTGGATTCCACAGGACATTTCCAATGCCAATGTGAGGATAATCAGACAACCTCAGGAGAATGCCCTTTCCTGTGCCTTCGGAGTACACCTGTCACTCACCGGCACTGGACACTGAGATTGATGTCGAGAACGTGCTATTCTGAGAACAATACAAGCTACTTTTATCTCCTGGGAATGCAAAGTCATTATTATTTCAGACTTTCCTACTCCTCAAAGCTCAGTACCATAACTGCTGAGTGTTGGCCTTAATCTCACTCTCTGCGAAAGTGAATAGTAACCAAGGGTCTGGAAGCCCCAAAGTACTTAATGCAGAGTCAGCAACAGCTCTTGAGTGTAAATCTCCTGTAATGCCCTTTCCTCCGAGTTATGCCCTAATATGAAGCCTGTGCCTACCTGGAGCTGGCCACCACAGAGGTGAGTTTAAAAGCCAGCATCATTACTCTTAACTTATATCATATCCACTTTGGAGGGACTCAGGATTAGCACCTTCATGTGACAGTAAGTGTCTGAGAACCTCCTGTTCTCCTGGGCACCAGAGATGGAGCAGTGAACAGAGTACCATCCTCACCTTTTGTAGTGTTTACCTTCTGATTGACTCACATACATATCTTTGGTTTATAAAAAGTTTGAAAAAGAGAAAACAGATGTACTGCAAAATGGAATGCATTTGGAAGGTACTTCCCTCCAAAGCACAGAATGATAGCGAAAAGGGTAGAGGAAAATACAAAATGTACGTGGGTAAAAATTGCAAACCATGGGCATATAACTATGTGATCATGTTTTCCAAAAGCAAACTTGACACATGCAGTGTAACAATAGCTTTTATTTTCTTTCTGATCTCTCAAATTGATTTGTAAGAAAACATTTTTCCTGAAGTATAAAAATAAAATCACATTTAGAAATGTATTCCATGACTTGTCTTTATTTGAAAGATTAAAACCATATCTAATGCAAAACCCAGCAAAGATACTAATATGAATATCCTACTGTGTTTGTCTTAGGATCTTAAATTCTTAATAGCTGAGTATCTAGGCACAAATTTGGCATTCCCTAAATCTTTGTTAGTCAAATGAACCAATGTTCAGATACCTATTTATACAACATTAGAACAGCTAGGATCAGTATTACCCTAAAGCATCAAGGAGATGCAAGCATATCAGATAGGGAAGCTTGGATGGGGCCAAGGGAGAGGAGTATGCCTGCTTGGTGGTATCAGTTGATGGTATCTGACATGCCTTTGGGACCAGAGGGAGTTTTTAAAAGAAAACACTAAAGTAAAAGCCATGTCCTTCCTTTCAACAGGGCATTGTTGCGGGCGCACGCTCCAAAGGAGAACACAAACAGAAAATCTTTTTAACCATCTCCTTTGGAGGAATCAAAATCTTTGATGAGAAGACAGGGGTGAGTAAAAGAATCACATGACATTGTGAAATTGAATCCATTGACAGGTGTGCCCTTAAAAGCCTCTACACTCTGGGCAGGAATATCAAGCAAGCATAAAAACACATAAAGCAACTGACAAATTTGATCAACTGTGATCGTCCATCAAAGGGAGCCTCTTCCCTGACTTGGCCACAGTGTGACTGCACTGTGCTTCTTCAAGTGTATTTGTGATAAGTGTCACACAGTTCTGGTAATCTAATGGGAGATTGATGAGCTTTGAAGAGCAGTGGGTAATGTGACAGTTTAAGTTAAATTTCTTTGTATGTTGGCAACTTTAATGACATGTGTCCTAGAGGGAGATACATGGAGGTCTTTTGATTCAGTCAAAGCATCCAGACTCTCTTGAGTTTAACCTGTAGCACCTGGCAGCTGCTATAATTGAAAAGAATAAATGGAGTTTTCAATCTTAAAAACATCTGTCACTGCATGACCAGGACATGTAACAGCTGATATGTTTGTTGAACCCACCAAAAAAGTGGTTTGTGTTTTCTTTAACCTCCCAGCTGCGATTTGCTCCCAGTTTCATCCCTGGGGCTGGCCTGACATTGTTGGTCCTGTTCATTGATGGTAAAACAGAAAAATGTTCCATGATCTATTTGGCCAAGAGATCAAGAGTTGAATGGACATGTTTTTTTCCTTTCATTCATTCATTCACTGCTTTATACCGCTTATAGAACACCTCCACATATATCCCCTCCTTTGAGCTTCTCAAGATAATTTATAAAGTACTGTATAAGCAATACTCAACTAGCCAAGTCACTTCACCTTAGTCATTCTTCATTGTTTTCTCTCCTTTGTTCTGACTCATGTTAGGATACCATGCAGGTTGCCGGACAATAATTTAACAGTCAAAATGGGTTTTCTTGAAGAAAAGTTATTCCTGAATAACTAGTAATGGAACAGATATTCCTATACCCATCCTCAGAGCAACATTATTCACAATGAACAAAAGGCAGAAGCAACCCAAGTGACCCTGGGTGGGTGAATGGGTAAACAATATGTAGTATATGCATAAAATGGAATATTGCTCAGCAATAAAAAAGAAGTTCTGACATACACTACAACATGGACGAACCTTGAAGACAGTATGCAAAGTGAAATAAGCCATCACAAAAAAGACCCATTCTGTAGGATCCCACTAGTATAAGGTATCTAGATGAATCAAATCAGAGACAGAAATGGTGGTTGCCAGGGCCTGGTGGGAGAGGGAGATGAAGAGATAGTGTTTAATAAGTAGAGTTAAATTGGGGGTGGGGAGGGGGGGGCGGAGAAAACCATGTGGCTGATGGATGGCTGTGATGATTGCAGAACAGTGTGAATGTACTTTATGCCAATGAACAATACTTAAAAATGATTATGGTGGTAAAGTTTTTTATATATTTTACTGCAGTAAAAAGTAATAATAACTCCCATTTATTGAGTACCTATTATATATTAGGTATGTATTAGTCACTTTAAATATATTATTCAGTTTCATCACAACTGTCCTGTAAGATGATAATAGTTATTTCATCAAGCACATAATATGTGCCAGGCCTTGTTGTAAAGCCTTTATAAGTATCAGCTCATTCAATGCTCACCACAACCCTCTGAGGAGATGGCACTGTTATCTCTATTTTATAGTTGAAGGTATCGAGGAGACAAAAGTATTTGTAACTTGCTGAAAGTAAGTGGCAGTGGAGACAGTCCAGCTCATGAGCCTTTTCACTTCACCCTGAGGCCTGTTATCTCTCGGGAAAGTTACTTGCCCAAGTTCACCCACCATGGAGGAGGCACAACTAGGCTTCTCCAGTTGACCTGAGCCAAAAATCAATGCACTTGACCTCTATATTATAGAGCAAGGTGGGTCCACCCTGGGGATGCCTTGGTGGAAGGTAGTTGAGAACAACAACACAGGCATCAGTAATAAAGGAGCTTGAATGCAGCAAGATTAGGAGCCAAATGTAAGTCTCTCTAGCCTTCATAAAAGCATGGTTTTTGAAACCAGGGAAGTTTTTCCTTTGCCTGGGCAGACTGTAGTCTGGAGACTTGTGCTCAGTTTTGATCCTCACGTTTTAGAACAGACATTGGCAAATTGAAGAATATTAAATATCCTGATGAGGGGAAGCAGGGCAGGTGGGGGCCAGAAACTATGCTAAACCAAGATTTCTCTACACAGATGTGGCCTCATAGGATCCTGGGTAACAGAGAGCTTTGGGCTTGTAGAAACGTGAGGATATTATTGCTCCTTTAGCATCCTTCATGGAAGGGAGCCCAAGTAAAGTGCATCAAGCCTAAATGAGAAATACTTTCAGTGATTTATATGCCCAGCTATTATGACATCATCCATGTCTAGTCTCTTCCCAGTTCCACGCTTGCCTATCACCATGACAGCTGGCATAATGAAAGGGACAGGAGTGAGGCAATGTATCAGATACCTTATCTTGTTTGGGGGCCATGTTTAGGATCCCGATATTCCATCACCTACCCTACCAACAAATAGATTGTGCCTAGAGAATTAAAGTCTTAATCACCACATTTTAACTAATGAAAGGTAGTTTATATTATTTATCTTTATCTAAATCTTCATTCATGAGTAGTTCACTGGTCCCAAGGAAAGATACCACCAAACTTTATGATGCTCTTTTTGATGCTTCAGCTAGATATAAGAGAACAACAGGAAAATCATTATTTCAGCTCTAAGCCATTTGGCTTTGGGGAAAGATTGTCAGATCCCTAGTGGAGAATCAGGATGAAGGTAAAGTGTTTTCTGTCTGGCTTCATCTATTCCAGTTGTGTTTGGTGAACATTAGGCCTCTGTAGCATCTGACTTCTGCAACCTTAACTTGTTAACATGCCTCAACAAAAATTTGGGGAACACCAGTAGAGAGGACTGAACATGTTTAAGTCTGAAGTAGAGACAGTATGAGGCAGGATACTGCATATTAGTAGCCATGTCTCCAAAAAGTTATACAATAGAGGAAGGAGCTGACTTGTTCTGTGTGACTCAAAAAATAAAACCAAGACTGAAAACTTGCTAGAAGTTTCTAGGAAGTGGTTTCGGTTTATGAGTAAGAAGAACTTTCTACCAGCCAAAGCTGTTCAACAGCTAGATTGGTCCACCTTCTGTGCAAGTGAGTTTATCGTGGTGTGGAGTATTCAAGCAACAGCCATACGAGGGGCAAATTGGGGAAAGGAGTCAAGTAAAGGATGGAGTGTTGAACAAAGTCCTTTCCAAGTTGATTACTGAGTTGGTTTTAAGATTTTTTTTACTCCCTTGAAGTCATTCCTATTGATGTGATTTTTCTTCAGATAAATGGAGGTTTTCAAAACCTCCATGGAGATTAAGAGCAGGAACAGTTTACTAAACCTTTGTCACTGCCCAGCAGGGGATCAACTAAATTGTGCATGATAAGAGTCTCTGAAGTATTTTGTCCTACATGTTAAAGAAGTGGAAAACTGGGTCTTTGTCATTCGGAATGATAAATTTTAGTTATTCATCATGTCTAAAATATGCCTGCTCAAGCTTGACTGTACTTTTTTTTTTCAAACCAAGAAAAGAAACATTTGCAGAATGTGACAATAGCTAGAATTTAAAATGCAAAAGCTGTCAAAAATGTTTTGATCCCAATTAAAGAGACCCTTTGCAGCAATTTACACCTTGTCTTGAATTTCAAAGGGTTCTTGAACCCAATCCTAATATGAGTAAATTTTATTTATTAGCATGTTGCAGGGAATAAATCAATATTGAAAGCTGTTCATATTTTTAAATACCTAAGCATTGCTTATATGTCAAAGGGATCAGTGTAAATGCAGAAAATATCATCTATAAAGTCATTGTTACTAATACTAGTAGGACCAGTAGCAAGTCAGGAGAAGGAGTGGTTTCATATATATTGCTGGGTCCTCAAATTAGACCAGTGGACACTGGTGTGATGGTATCTTCATTTCACAACTAAGGGAGCAGATCCTGGGAGTGTCCATCCCTGGCTTGGTTGTAGACCCAGAACAGACCTTCCAAGCCCAAATCCTGTGTCTTTCCAGGGGAATTCATTGACTCTCTCCTCTTCCCATTTACAATTTTATTTCATAGAATTATATAATTATAAGCCATTAAAAAATGATAAATACTGCAGGACCCTGAAGATAAATCTGTTTCTCAGGATAGGTGGTATGAGTCAGCTCTTCAAGATGATGTAACATCTTTTGCCACATGTGAATTCTGATTCTTCATTTGGTTTAACCAACACCGATAATGGCACTACTATGTGCACCATTCTAAGTACATTACAGTTCTGTGAAGTGGGTGCTGTTACTATCAGCATTTTACAAGTGAGAAAACTGAGGTCCGCATAATTTAAGTCACACAGCTAATTAGTGGCAGAGCTGAGATTCAAACCCAGGTATAACCCTTGGTGCTCGTGAGCTATTGCTAATAATAACATACTTGTCTTAGTCTATTTGGGCTGCTGTAACAAACATACAAGGTTGCCTATAAACAAACATTTATCTCTCACACTTCTGGAAGCTGGGGAGTCCAAGATCATGACCCCAGGAGATTTAGTGTCTGGTGAGAACCCGCTTCCTCAGAGATGGTACTTTTTTGCTGTACCTTTATGTGGTAGGAGGAGCAAGGACTCCTTTGAGAGCCTTTTTAAGGGCACTAATGCCACTCACATGGGCTCTACCTGCAAGACCTAGTCACCTCCCAAAGGCCCCACCTCCTAATACCATCCCCTTGAGGTTTAGAATTTCAATATAACAATCTTGTGGGGTGGGAGGGAGGGCATAAATATTCAGACCATAGCAATACCAAATTTTATAAGGAATTTCCTTTTATATGTAATACAGTAGATTCAGTGTTATTGCTTATTGTCACCATTATTCACTTTGATTCTGATGAGCTTCTCTAAGTGAGGATAAAAGGGATGGAATTAAAACAGGGTATATCCTGTGGAAAGAATCTTGGCAGTACAGCC